CAAAATTGAAAGAGCTGAGGAGCAAGTTTAAAAAAACTCAAAAACTAGCAGAAGGCAATAAATAAATAAGATCAGAGCAGAACTGAAGGAGATGCACAAAAAGTTCTTCAAAAAAAATCAATAAATCCAGGAGCTGGTTTTCTCAAAGGATCCAAAAATAGAGTGCTAACCAGATTAATAAAAAATAAAAGGGAGAAGAATCAAATAGATGCAATAAAAAATGATAAAGGGGCTATCACCACTGACTCCACAGAAATACAAACTACTATCAGAGATTATTACAAACAACTCTATACACATAAACCAGTAAACCTGGAAGAAATGGAAAAATTCCTGGACACTTGCACCCTCCCAAGCCTAAACTAGGAAGAAGTTGAAACCCTGAATAGGCCACTAACAAGGGCTGAAGTTGAGGCAGTAATTAATAGCCTAACAACCAAAAAAAAGTCCAGGTCCCGATGGGTTCACAGCTGAATTCTATGAGACATACAAAGAGGAGCTGGTACCATTCCTTCTGAAACTATTCCAAACAAACAAAAAGAGGGGATCCTTCCCAGATCATTTTATGAGACCAACATCATCCAGATACCAAAACCTGGCAGAGATTAAACAAAAAAAGAAATCTTCAGGCCAATATCCATGATAAACATAGATGCAAAAATCTTCAATAAAATACTGGCAAACTGATTGCAACAGCACATCAAAAAGCTTATCTATCACAAACAAGTAGGCTTCATTCTGAGGATGCATGGCTGGTTCAACATATGCAAGTCGGTAAACATAATCCACCACATAAACAGAACCAAAGACAAAAGCCACATAATTATCTCAATAGATGCAGAGAAGGCCTTTGACAAAATTCAACAGCTCTTTATGCTAAAAACTCTCAATTAACTAGGTATCAAGGGAACATATCTCAAAATAGTAAAAGCTATTTAAGACAAACCTACAGCCAATATCATACTGAATGGGCAAAAACTGGAAGCATTCCCTTTGAAATCCAGCACTAGACAAGGATGCCCTCTCTTACCACTCCTATTCAATATAGTATTGGAAGTTCTAGCCAGAGCAATTAGGCAAGAAAAAAAAAATTAAAAAAATAAAGGGTTTTCAATTAGAAAAAGAGGAAGTCAAATTGTCTCTATTTGCAGATGATATGATAGTATATTTAGAAGACCCTATCATCTCAGCCTCAAATCTCCTTAAATTGATAAGCAACTTTAGCAAATTGTCAGGATACAAAATCAATGTGCAGAAATCACAAGCATTCCTATACAACAATAACAGACTAACAGAGAGTCAAATCATGAGCAAACTCCAATTCACAATTGCTACGAAGAGAATAAAATACCTAGGAACGCCGGGCGCGGTGGCTCAAGCCTGTAATCCCAGCACTTTGGGAGGCTGAGGCGGGTGGATCACGAGGTCGAGAGATCGAGACCATCCTGGGCAACCTGGTGAAACCCCGTCTCTACTAAAAATACAAAAAATTAGCTGGGCATGGTGGCACGTGCCTGTAATCCCAGCTACTCAGGAGGCTGAGGCAGGAGAATTGCCTGAACCCAGGAGGCGGAGGTTGTGGTGAGCCGACATCGCGCCATTGCACTCCAGCCTGGGTAACAAGAGCGAAACTCCGTCTCAAAAAAAAAAAAAAAAAAAAAAAAAAAATACCTAGGAACACAACTAACAAAGGATGTAAAGGACCTCTTCAAGGAGAACTACAAACCACTGCTCTAGGAAATAAGAGAGAACACAAACAGATGGAAAAACATTCCATGCTCATGGTTAGGAAGAATCAACATCGTGACAATGGCTATATTGCCCAAAGTAATTTATAGATTCAGTGCTATCCCCATCAAGCTACCAATGACCTTCTTCACAGAACTGGAAAAATCCACCTTAAGCTTCATATGGAACCAAAAGAGAGCCCACATAGCCAAGTCAATTCTAAGCAAAAAGAACAAAGTTGGAGTCATCACACTACTGGACTTCAAACTATACTACAAAGCTACAGTAATCAAAACAGCATGGTACTGGTACCAAAACAGAGATATAGAGCAATGAAACAGAACAGAGGCCTTGGAGGCAACACCACACACCTACAACCATCTGATCTTTGACAAACCTGACAAAAACAATCAATGGGGAAAGGATTCCCTGTTTAATAAATGGTGTTGGGAAAACTGCCTAGCAGTGTGCAGAAAGCAGAAATTGGACCCCTTCCTGACACTTTACACTAGAATTAACTCCAGATGGATTAAAGATTTAAACATAAGACCTAACACCATAAAAACCCTAGAAGAAAACCTAGGCAAAACCATTCAGGACATAGGCATAGGCAAGAACTTCATGACTAACACCAAAAACATTGGCAACAAAAGCCAAAATAGACAAATGAGACCTAATTAAACTCCACAGTTTCTGCACAGCAAAAGAAACCATCATTAGAATGAACCAGCAACCAACGGAATGGGAAAAAATGTTTGCATTCTACCCATCTGACAAAGGGCTAACATCCAGAATCTACAAAGGACTAAAACAGATTTACAAGAAAAAAACAAACAAACCCATCCAAAGAAATACTTTTCAAAAGAAGACATGTATGAGGCCAACAAACATATGAAAAAATGCTCATCATCACTGATTATTGGGGATATGCAAATCAAATCTGTGTTGAGATACCATCTCACACCAGTTAGAATGGTGATCATTAAAAAATCTGGAGACAACAGATTCTGGAGAGGATGTGGAGAAACAGGGACAGTTTTACACTGTTAGTGGGAATGTAAACTAGTTCAACCGTTGTGGAAGACAGTGTGGTGATTCCTCAAGGACCTAGAAATAGAAATTACATTTGACCCAGCAATCCCACTACTGGGTATATACCCAAAGGAGTATAAATTTTTCTACTATAAAGACACATGTACACGTATGTTCACAGCGGCACTGTTTACAATAGCAAAAACCTGGAACCAACCCAAATGCCCACCAATGATAGACTGGAAAAGAAAAATGTGGCACATATACACCATGGAATATTATGCAGCCATACAAAAAGATGAGTTTGTGTCCTTTGTAGGGATAGGGATGAATCCGGAAGTCATCATTTTCAGCAAATTGACACAAGAACAGAAAATCAAACACCATATGTTCTCACTTATTGCTGGGTGTTGAACAATGAGAACCCATGGACACAGGGAGAGGAGCATCACGCCCTGGGGTCTGCTGGGGGAGACCAAGGGTGGGACACTGATGGGGTGGGGAGATTGGGAAGGGATAACATGGAGAGAAATGCCAGATGTAGGTGACGGGGTGATGGAGGCAGCAAACCACATTGCCATGTGTGTACCTATTCTGCATGATCTGCACATGTACCCCAGAACCTAAAATACAATAAAAAAAAAATTTAAGTTGATTTTCATCTTTCTCTGGTATCTCCTTGAGTAGCTTAAAAATCAACATTCTGAATTCTTTAAATGGCAATTCACAGATTTCTTCCTGGTTTGGATCCATTTCTGGGGAGCTGGTATGTTTTGGAGGTGTTATAGAACCTGTTTTGTCAGATTACCAGAATTACTTTTTTCTTTTTATTTGGGTAGACTATTCCAGTGGAATGCTTTGGAACTTAAAAGCCTGTTGTTCAGATTGTCTAGTCCCATGGGGTGATCCCTTGATGTGGTGCTCTCCCCCTTTCCCTAGGAATGGGGCTTCCTGAGAGTCAGATTGCAGTGATTGTTATTCTGGGTCTATACCCAGAGGGGCTACCAGGCTCTGGGCTGGTGCTGGGGAATGTCTGGTAAGAAGCCTGTGATGGACTCCAAAAGGAATTGAATGAAATTTATGATGATCTGATGGCCTTGATGTACTATCATGAGCAATAAATGAACTCTGAAAAATAAAACTAAAAAAGTCAACATACTTTTCCTTAGTGTACTTGTATTTGAAATAATACGATCTTTAAAAGTATTTAAAAGCAGTATATAGAAAAAAAAAGCATATTTTATTTAAAATGAGGAGGTAGGCCAGACACAGTGGCACAGGCCTGTAATTCCAGCACTTTGGGAAGCTGAGACAGGCAGATTGCTTGAGCTCAGGAGTTTGGGACCAGCCTGGGAAACCCCATCTCTACAAAAACATACAAAAATTAGTTGGCCGTGGTGGTGTGTGCCTGTAGTCCCAGCTACTCAGGAGGCAGATGTGGGAGGACTGCTTGAGCCCAGGAGGGAGAGGTTGCAGTGAGCTGAGATTGTGCCACTACACTCTACCCTAGTGACAGAGCCAGACCGTCTCAAAAAAACAAAATGAAGAAATAAACTTTACTTTTTAGTGGTTCATTTAATGGACAGGTGAAGGGTTTTAAAGTCCATAAAATAATATTGTTAGCAAGAAATTACCAATCTGCTTTCATAGTAATTATTTCTTGAAATAGAAATTTCCTGTTTTAGTGAGTGAATTAGTAATTAGAAGGGATTTTTTTTTTTTTTTTTTTTGAGATGGAGTTTCGCTCTTGTTACCCAGGCTGGAGTGCAATGGCGCGATCTCGGCTCACCGCAACCTCCGCCTCCTGGGTTCAGGCAATTCTCCTGCCTCAGCCTCCTGAGTGGCTGGGATTACAGGCACGTGCCACCATGGCCAACTAATTTTTTGTATTTTTAGTAGAGACGGGGTTTCGCCATGTTGACCAGGATGGTCTCGATCTCTTGACCTTGTGATCCACCCGCCTTGGCCTCCCAAAGTGCTGGGATTACAGGCTTGAGCCAACGCGCCCAGCCTAGAAGGGATTTTTAAAATCTGATTGTTATCAGATTTGGAAATAGAAGATTGGATGGTATCTAATTGCCATATTTTACTAATATCACATTTTTTTTCAGCCTAGTGACTTAATAATTTCTATTTATTACTATAAAATAATTTATTATAGCTAATAAAGCAGTACTGAAATTCCAGATACAATGCCATTGAAGTTAAAACAGTAATTATAAATAGAAAATTGTACTCACAGATTTCCATGGAATTTTCTAGAAGGCTTACTGGAAACAGTTATCTTTTTCTCAAAGGGGAATAAAAATCCACAAATAATTAGCTGTTAAATGCAGAAAAATGAAAATGAAAAACTAACAAAAATTTAAATACGATTTTTTTTCTGGTTTGTTAAAATATATATGTATATATATATATATATTATATATATATATATTATTATTATTATTTTTTCAGAATAGAGCCACACTATGTTGCCCACTAGAGAGTAGTGCCTATTCACAGGCACAATCATAGTGCATGACAGCCTCAAACTCCTGGGCTCCAGTGGTCCTCCTGTCTCAGCCTCCTGAGTAGCTGGTACTATAGATCCACCCCACTGCAACTAGCACAGAATTTTTTTTTAAATAAAAGTCTTTACAATGAATTGTTTCTTATTTAAAAACTATGAAAACATAATTTAACTTATTTTCTTACTGAAGTTTTAACCACTTTCCAGCCCGATGTATCTTGATTATAGCCTAAAACTTCTTGGGCCATTTGTTGGGCAATTGCCTTATAGTCCATCTATCTGCAAAGTTTTAAAAACAAACAACTGTTAAGAATATAATCATGTAAAAACTTAAGTGCTATCTTACGTTTTAATACTATTTCTATAGTGTCTGTCACATATAAATGAACAATAATTACTTGCTGAATGCATGTATGCATGAACCCCTCTCTCCTTACAGTCTTTCAAATGAGAAACTGTGGTAGAGTAGAAAAATCTAGACTTTGGAATCAGAAACCTGGGTCATATTTTGTCTCTGCCACCTATTAATTGTGTGAAGCATGTTACTTAATATTTGTTTTTCCATTTTTCTCAAGGTGTAAAATTAGGATAATATCTACCTTGTAGAATTAGTATAAGGATTAAATGAGATGATACGCTTAAGGTTCTACCGCAGTGCCTGGATGACAGTTATTCAATAAATAATTTTAATTTCTAACAGATTAATCATGCTTCCTTTCTCTTATAAAGCATCACGATCTGTTGGTTATATGTTCTTGAAGATTAATCTTTTTAAAGTGAGTAGCAGTGGCACTAAGTGATCTGACCGCTGGCTTCCTCTTCAAATATACCTCCTACCAGTCGTCTTCTTGTTCACCTAGCTCCAATCATTTGATCTCCTGGCTGTTCCTCAAATACAATCAAGCAATTTCCTACCTCAGGTTCTTTGTACTTGCTGTTTCTTCTGCTTGTCACCTTCTTCTCCAATGTGTTCACATGACTGACTGTTTCATAGATATCTTTGCTTAACTGTCACCTCCTCAGAGAGGATCAAGTTTAAATCAACTCAATTTAAACACATTGACTGAACCCTACTTGAATTTAGAAACTGCAATGGACTGAATGTTTTTGTCTCTCTAAAAGTCATATGTTGAAATCCTAACTCCCAAGGTGATATCAGGAGATGATTAGGTCATGAGGGCAAAGCCCTTGTGAATAGGATTAGTGGCCTCACAAAAGGGACCCCAGGGAGCTCACTGGCCCCTTCTAGGACACTGCCAGAAGTCAGCAGTCTGCAACTAGAAGTGGGCCCTCACCAGAACCAAACCATGATGCCACCCAGATCTCGGACTTCTAGGATCCAGAACTGTGAGAATTAAATTTATTGTTTACAAGTCATTCAGTCTTTGATAATTTCTTATAGTAGCCCAAAAGGACTGAGACAGGCACTGTTGTAAGCGTAGCAACAGTTGAGAAAGATATTAGATACTATTTCTTCTGTGAATGGGTTAAGGAAGCTGCAGTCTCACTGGTCCTTTGCTGATTATCCAGCTTTCAGTTAGGGGAAGCTGGCAGGTAAGGTGAAAACAGAGCAGGATTCAAATCCTGACTTTGTCACTTAGTACCAGCTATATTATTTTGAGTAAATTGCTTAACCTTTGAATTTCAATTTCTACATCTATAGAATGAGGATAATAATATCTATCTCACTGAGTTATTATAAGGCTTACATATATTATAATATATGTAAAAATGCTTGAAATAGTGTGAAGCCCTATACTGGGATAACAAAATGGTTAGTTTCTCTTTACAAAATGGACACATGTAAATTCATCATTTAAAAAGCTCTCCAAAGACCTGCCTCCTTAGCACTTAAACAAACCTTCTTAAAGTTTAATTATTGGGACATTTCTTCCTTACCTCTCACCTAAAACTCTTCAGGTTGGATCGTAAATCTATTTTCTCTTATTTAATTCTCCAGCAAGGCACAGCAGGTACTTGAGAGCCTCTATATTTGAAAAGTTTTAGTAAACCATTATTATAACCTCCTCCTCTTTCCTAGCAGAGTCCTGGTTTCTTTACTTTTCCAGACAGAGCTAATCCAGAATTTTAGTAACTATTGGGGATCCCCTCCAAATCCTTGTGGAAATATCCGTATCTCTTAACCTGTGAGGAAACAAGGCAGAATTGGAATTATTTTGATCCATGAATTAGGTAAATATATTTGATAATTTCTTTTATATCTTTCTCAATGTCTTTTATCTATACTGTCTTCATTAAGAAACATGGGCTAGCCGGGCGCGGTGGCTCAAGCCTGTAATCCCAGCACTTTGGGAGGCCGAGGCGGGTGGATCACGAGGTCAAGAGATCGAGACCATCCTGGTCAACATGGTGAAACCCCGTCTCTACTAAAAGTGCAAAAAATTAGCTGGGCATGGTGGCACGTGCCTGTAATCCCAGCTACTCAGGAGGCTGAGGCAGGAGAATTGCCTGAGCCCAGGAGGCGGAGGTTGCGGTGAGCCGAGATCGCGCCATTGCACTCCAGCCTGGGTAACAAGAGCGAAACTCTGTCTCAAAAAAAAAAAAAAAAAAAAAAAAAAAAAAAAAGAAACATGGGCTATATGTATGTCCCAAGATGAAAGAAAAAGATAGTGTGAAAAACTTTAAAAAAATACTGTTCATAAAAATAATCTCTAAGAAACGGCTTTGAAGAAACTCAGTTTAAAAAGACATTTTAGGTGGAACGTGGATACAAAAATCTAACTTTTTAAGCTCATGTCATTAACGATCCTTGCTTAATCCCTGACCAGGTCTTGTATTAGAATTTAAAACACCGTTCTTGATTTCCTTTTAGAAACCTACTTGATATTAATAGATCTAGAGACTTTGAAGATTATTGGAACATACCACTAGCAGGGTATGTCTTATTTTCAAATTATTAAAATAATTTAAAAAAACTATTACTGCCACATAGACCTGTGTTTAATTGAACCACTAAACTGAACCTTATAGCTTCTGGACTTTTTCATTTGGTAAGAGAAAAAGGAAGGTAAAATTTAGTAGGCTACAAAGGGTAAAAAGAAGAAAGCGCGAACAGTTGTATTACCTGGTGACGGAACGTCGCACGAGCTGGAACGTATTTAGACGGAGACATGGTCAAGGAGATCTTCACTCTTAGGGTCAGTGGAAAATAAACATAAACCAACATTGGATGGCCTCTTTTTTTGATACACCACTTGGTTGAAACTGGATTATTTCCAGCTTTGTGGCTAGGCTCACACCTGTTGTTAGTGGGTCTTTCCATCTGTTTGTATAATGTCCCTCTTTCTGGGCTGGCTGGCCGGGTGCCCCGTCCGTGCTGGGTCACTGCCATTCTTCCCCGGGAATCAAGCCTTCCAGGGAGTTTGTTCAATCCCATCCCTGGCCAGAGTCTGCTCTCCAATCTCCCATCTGCTTTGTGTGTGAGAGGCTCCGGGGGGCGACAGGAAAGGCGCTGAAGAGGGACCGAAAAAAGCGGCGAGGAGGGCTGCCTGTCAGCTGAGATGTTTTATTTTTGGGAGGGGATGCTCTGAAAGGCCGAGCTCACTTGGAAGGACTGGAGCTGCGGGGCTCTCAGCGACCGGGACGACCACCGCCAGCGCCCTGAAGTCTCCCTCCTCACCGAGTCCCCTCCCGCAAACCCCTGGGCCGGCCGAAGCAAACTGGCCGAGAACAGCTGCGACGGAGGTTTGGGGGGCGTGGGGGGCAGCGCCTAGGACGCAGCCCAGATCCGCTCCTCCCAGCCCCAGGAAGGAGTGAGAAACTGCACCTCCCAGCAGGGGTCGCGACACAGCGTCCCACGGCATCCTCTTCAGCGGCCCGGCCGCTTCCTCGCCTCCGCTCGCGCCCCGCGCCCCGCGCCCCGCGCCCCGCGCCCCGCGCCCCGCGCCCCGCGCCCCGCGCCCCGCGCCCCGCGCCCCGCGCCCCGCGCCCCGCGCCCCGCGCCCCGCGCCCCGCGCCCCACCGCCGCGCATGCGCACCGCCCCCACCCCCCCGCGCATGCGCACCGCAGGCCGGCGCCATGTTGGGGCGGTTTGAAAGCGAGCGCGGGCGTGGAGCGGCGCAGTGACGGCGGAGGAGGCTACAAGTGAGCCCGACCCGAGGCGGGGAGGTGTCCGCGTTGGGGGTGCTTTGTGGTGTCTCGCCTCGGGTCACAGGCCTGGGCTGGCGGCGGAGAGCTGTGGAAGTGTGCGTTTTCTTTTTCTTTTTTTTTTAAATTTTGGGGCCTTAGGGGTGAGTTAGGCCGGAGAGGAGGGGGTGTCTTTTCGAGGGGTGTCCCATACTGTGACAGCCGAGAAGAGGCGACACGGGGGTGGCGAGGAAAGGGGAGACGTCTCCTGAGGGAGGTCGCGTGTGGAATCTCTGGAAGGAACACTGTAGGGGAAGTGCCCCTTGGGCGAGGGAGGGTCCGGGGACGCCGCCAAGGGGCCTGACACGGCCATCTGGGGACCTGAGGGGGCGACGGGGAGGGGCTTGCGCTCTGGGGCGGTCGCCTTCCAACACTTCTGCGTCCGTCCATTGCGGCGGTCGCCCTGGCTGCTGAATAAATGGTTTCGGAGTCAGAAGCATCTCATTGAAGACCTTGATTCTGTCTGTGACGGACGGGTGGTGGAACTCCAAAGGGAGGGTGTCGCCTGGATGTGGCTGGAGACGTTGGACCCCACGGCGCCCGGGGTAGGGGAAAGATGCGCAGTGCAGGGGGCGGGCGACCTTCGCTGGCTGGGAACGCGGGTTCCCGGCTTTCTGCTGCGGAATGAACAAACATTCCCAAGAGTTGTTGTTAATTTCCTGTGTGATAGTCCCATTGGCCATTTAACACTGAACGTTCTGTTTTTGAATCAAAGGTAGTTGAAATTTCTTGTCAATGAGTTTAACATTCTGTTCTTCTGCGTGATGAATTTTCTTTTGGAGATTTGAACTGAAGTCTATATGGAGGAAATGGTGAGCTAAATGGAATTTGCATGATATGTGGGGTTCAAAATAATCCTGTGGCTGAAGTGGGGGTAACTGGCTGGGTACCATACGGTAATAGATAACTCAAAAATGTTTTCTAAATCATTGATGAAAGAATTCACAATAATAAAGATAAAAAATCTACAATACCGTGCCTCCACCCACTTCTCCCCACTTCAGCCACAATTGGGGTATGTTCAGTGATTGTTGGAAGCAGGTTGATGAGTGCATAGGTGTTTATTGAACGATTCTACTTTTGCATTCTTTTTTTTTGGGAAAAAGTTTGAAAACTTTTCATAATAAAACTTAAATTCTACATTTTCTTTCTGTCCGTCTTTTGAGTTGAAATATGTAGTAAATGGTATCACCACTTAAGGAGACCAGTACAACAGCTTTCTCTTTTAAGGTTTTGTAAAATAAAATCAGTAGCCTGTTCTGCATTCAAGGAGAGAAAACCTCTGGTCAGGCTTATCCAAATAAATTTACCTGAGTGAATTTAAACTTCTTTAAATAAAAGGGATATGGGAAGTGTAAAGCTGGCTGAGTTTAGCCATTCGTCAGAGATATACCAGTATTTCAGCATTCAGAAAAATCGATGAGGCTAAATAACTGTTACCTTATGTTCTGCCATTTGCACTGACCAAGGTCACATCTTTTATAATGGCCATTGCATGCTCTAACGCTGTGGTAGGATGACGTTTTACTCTGTCTCTTACTTAATTAGAAAACTGGATATTTTAAAGCCAAATTTTAACAGTTACTAAGATTACATTAAAAGTTTTTATATTAAATATTTCTAAAATTGTAGCCAAAAATTAAACATTGTAACATCATAGCATTGTTAAGTTCTCAAAATTAATCCTTTTTTAGTATAGGAAATCCATTGATTTAATTTTAAAAAGAATGTCATATGGACTGAATTAATGACGATTTATTCTGTTATTTCTTAGGTTTTTCAAATATTCATCCTATTTTTGTACTGAGGTAGACAGGGATTCTCTCAATAATGGAAAAACAGTAAGAACAATACATTGAATTGATTTTCACATTATTTATGCTTCCTTTAAAAGAGGTGACCTCAATCCATTTAACATAAGAATTGAAAATACGGAGGGTGGTACCAAAAACCAAGGTCAGGAAATGATTATTAACTATTTTGGGAAAAGTACATATTGCTAGCTCATTCCTGTATAAGACCTGCAGTTTATTTATAGATTTAAATGTTGAAAATATGCTAGTATTTACAACATTGAAAGTGAATATTCTACATTGTGCCTTCTTGTTTTAAATACTTCATTTGATGGCTTTAAAAATTTTGTTGAACACTATTATGTGCAGCACATGAAGGTAGGCTTATGATTTGAAAACTATTATGTATAGGGGAATCTTAGGTATTGTGATGTCATAGAATATATCACCAAGAGAGAAAAGAACTGTTCATGAGTAGTTTTTAGGACTTTTTAAAAAGTAAGTACTCTTTCCTTGGTATTTTCCATGTATATTCTTAGACAACTTTTGTGTACATACTTCTAGGCACATAGTAGGTACTCAGAAAATGTTTTGTAAATCATTGATGAAGGAATTCACAATAATAAAGGCAACAAAAAATCTACAATTCCTAACAAGGAGTGTCTATTATAGATAATAGATTTTATTCTTTAAAGAAAATTATGAAGGTTGAAATATTTAGCAGTTTTGTTTGTATATGGTCACTATTTTTAATGGCACCTTAACATTTTGTTTTTGTATTACAGTTATTTTTAAGGGAAATGAATAGAAATAATCCACTTTGAAGAAGCCATGGCAAAATCAAACACAAAACATAGACTTTGTTCTCGGGAATCTTCAGTATCTTCGCTGCTGGCAAGCTGCAGCCTGAGTGGTAGTAATTCCTCTAATTCTGATGGCTCTTTTCACTATAAAGATAAGCTCTACAGATCTGCTTCTCAAGCTCTACAGGCTTATATTGATGATTTTGATTTAAGCCAAATGTATCCTGGTAGAAGCACTGGAAAAATTAACATTGATGAGGGTTTTACTAATATGCCACAGTTCTGCAACTACAGTTACAAACCAAACAATGGTATGCTTTTGTTCTTTATGTTTTATTTATGTTCAGATGTTTTGAAGCATTTGAGAGATGTACTGTGTAGTATTGTACAGCTTGACATTATTTTTGTTATTTTGGAGTAAAAATAACTAGTATAGTATTGGGATCTGGGTGTTTTTGTAAAATGATTATGTAATTCTGTATGGAATGGTAATATTCACAAGATGTTAAGAGTTTATCCATAATAAAGCTTCCTTGAAGACAAGTTTGGAAAATGCAGTTGTTAATAAGTCAATTACTACTTTACTGAACACTTACAGAATGATCCTAGAATGGAAGAAGTTTATATTCTGCACTTAGAGGGATGTGGTCAATATATTCCAGAAGGGAATTAGAACAGCTGTTCTCTCTGTAATCCATGCCACTGAAGGGTTTGTAGGTGATAGAGCAAGTTTTTTTCCACCTAGTTTAATAGCATATTTTTTTCTGTGCTGCAGTCAGTATTGAGTGACCAATGTTACTGTGATTGTATTAGTGTATCAGTTAGGTCTAGATGAAAAAAGTTGAAGAAACAATAAATTAGAGAACAGGAAAATTCAGGAGGTTGGAGAGAAACATGTAGAAATTAAGTAACACAGATTGAAAAATCATGTGAGAAAGAAAGCACATCCTATTTTATCAACCTATGCCTTTTATGCTTTTAAAGCTTTAGTGAGGATAAGGGGAAAGCAGCAAAATGACTCAAATTCTTATTCTCTTTTACTGTTCGATATTGTAAAATATTTGTATATAATAAAGATAAACAAAACTGTTCTTTTTCAGCTTTTGAAAACCTTGATCGCAAAAAGCACTCAAACTTCATATCCTGTAAAAGACAGACTACTAATGACATAGACTCTATGAGCCTAACAACTGATGATCTATTAAGACTCCCAGCAGATGGATCATTTTCTTTTATTTATGTTGAACCAAGTCACCGAACAAGGAAGAAAAACAAGAAATGCCATGGAAGACTGGGTTCATTGGACACTGAAAAGAATCCAAATTTTCAAGGACCCTCCACTCCCGTGGACAGAGATAACTTAGTTACTCCTGTCGTACACACAAATATAAATGGAAAGCAATGTAGTAGGCTGAAAAACCCAAAACTTATCAATAGGACTAATAATTGCAAGAAATCGTCTTTCAAGGACAGTTCAGAACACAATCTTGAAAAGAATTATCCAAGATGGCTCACTAGCCAGAAATCTGACCTTAATGTTTCAGGGATAACTAGTATACCTGATTTCAAATACCCAGTCTGGCTCCACAATCAAGATTTGCTACCTGATGCAAATAGTCAAAAGGTTTATAAAATATTTAAAGATGATCAGTGTCCCCCTAGACATAGTCATCAGGCACAAGGAACTTCTCAGCTTGTTAATAAATTAGATTGTTTTGAATATTCTCTTGAACCCTCAAAGTTTTCAAATTTCTTGAGTGATGATAAAGAATTAGTTAATGAATACAAATGTGATTTTGAATGTAGCCAGTGTCAATGTGAGAATCTCCTTCTCCCAGGACAATCCACACAGCCGTTCAGTGGTAATACTTTGTTTATAGCTTATAGTTTTATTCTTTTTTTAAACCAAAAGAAGTGCTGTAAAGTTGAGGTAATATCTGGGAGCTTTTATGTTTTGTTTTCATGTAATCTTTTTAGAATGCTTATAATCTTCACACATAGCATTTTGTAACTAGAAAATGTCTTTTCTCCCACTTTTTCTTTGCTTGAAATGCCACATCTTAATTTGCTGTTATAGATGAATATACATGCCAGATTATCAGAATTTTGACTTGTTTGTAACATTTTGTTATGCTTTGCATTGTCTTTTTTCTTCAAGGACTAATAGTCATCTTTTAAAATTAGGTGACAAAATTGAATTGCTTATCTTGAAGGCCAAGAGAAATCTAGAGCAGTGTACTAAAGAATTACCAAAGTCTATGAAAAAGGATGACAGTCCTTGCTCATTAGATAAACTTGAAGCAGAAAGATCATGGGAAAATATTCCTGTTACTTTGTAAGTAAGTGACAATGGAAAAACTGTTTAGTTTTCCAAGTGAAAAATGTCATGAATATCTGATTTATATTCAAATGAATGGTAATAATATTGTAATTCCATAGAACATAGCTTTGTGTTACTTGCTTTAAATTGCATTTTTCATTTATTACCTCAGGATGGTATAATGTTTCATAACCTTAATGTATGTTATATAACATCTGTCTTTGTTACATGTTCATTTTGTTTCATTATAAAGTATTGATAAGGATCTTAATATGAGGGATTAAAACCAGAAAAAATTATTTTGCAGAGTAGTATTATAAAATTTGTGTTATTTTCTTCTAACTTTAAGTTTTTCCTCTCTGTATAATAGAATTATAAATTTCTTATTTACATTTTATGTTCCCTTTTAGTTGTTGTTTTCCCTAAATGATGATACTTTTTTTTTTTTTTTTTTTTTTTACCAGAAATACATTATTGCTAACCCCATATCATGCCTTAGGCTCTGATAATTTATTATCTTTAGTTGTCTAAACTTTCATTTTGTTATAGACAGAGTCTATGAGTTCCTGGATTCGTTTTTTATTCTCAGTTGATTGTCTCTTTTCAGAATGTAGAGATTGACTATAATTCCAATTTAGAAGCCTCCCTCTGCCACTCTCTTGCTGTATGGCTTTGTACAATTTACTTGACTTCTCTAAACTTTAAAGATAGAGAAATAATGTCTGCTTCAGGGTTGTTGTGAAGATTAATTTCACTAGAAAATGAATATGAAGTTTCTGAACTAAGATGAGCACTCATAAATTTTAGTAGTGGTCATGATTATCTAGAATGTTTTATTTTCTTCTTTTAGCTTCATTTCTTCGGTTGTTTCAACAACATATATATTTAAACTTGGGTTGATAACAAGTTCACATAATACTTCTCTTATTTTTCTTGTTTCCTAGTTGCTTATTTTATCACTTGTTCTATATATTAATAAATCATAGCTGCAATACTTTTCTTTTAATTGGAACCAAAATGGGCAAGCAAGTAGTATCAGAGGTGCTTAAATTTTTTGAATGCAATTAATATATTTTATAATTTGTTAATGTAACTTATAGCTTGTGTAATTAATATTATCAGTAGATTGGCTCAGTACCTTACATATAATAATTAGCTTTTGGAAGACTGAATTTATATTGTGATGGGTATATTTGTAGATAAAACTAGTGATGAATTGCTGAGAAGGAGTAGATCTCAGTTTGAGATTGACAAATTATTGTACACCTGTCATCAAAAACAAAATTGAATAGAAAGTACTTAAGATGGTATTCTAAGTGGTAGAGCAAAACCACAACCAGATCATTGCTTTTTCTAAAAAAACTTTTTATTATGGAAAAGCTAACATAAATTACAAAAGTTGAAAAATAGTATAATGAACCCCTAGGTACCCTCCACCCATCTTTAACAATCTGGTAAATGTTTTTTAATAACAGACAGTGGATATACAAAGTGTTGGTAAAGAATTGGGGAAAGGAGTACCTGATAGTATGAAAGAGCTTGTAAATTAGAAATCATATATGTCAATAAAGAAGCCTACTTGTTAAATAAAAGCATTAGCATTGTGTGAATGTTAAAAAAAGATTCTTAGATATCTGAGTTCTTCAGTTACACACCTTATAGTAATATATGAATAAGAGAGAAATAGATTGAATTCATTTTTGTGACTTAATAGAATTTGATTCTGGAACATTCTTGTTTTTGCTGGATATACCCTTTCCTCTACTGCCCCTTGAATATGAGGAAATAAATGGGTATTTACTATCTATTAAATGTATTAGGTACATAGAAAATTAATTCAGTTAGTTTATGCAATGTGTCTATGAGATTGATGGGATGACAATTATAGAAACCGAAATTCAGATAAATTACCTAAGGTTATACAGTGAATGGGACTAAGATTACATGCAGGAATGTTAATTTCAGAATACTTTTCTCAGAATAATCTGTCCTTTATGTTAATACCAGTTATAAAGGCAAAGTCTGTTCTGTTGCCTTCAGGTAGGAGTTGTAACTACCATTCTAGTTAAAACTTTTATGAGTTTGTGGGGTTTTTGGTTATTATCTGGTAACAATGTTTAATTGGAAAAATGTATTGTTTATTTCAAACAAGGTGAGCTTTTGGAGCATAGTCTGTAGTTCAGGGCTTGTTTAGCTGAATACCAGTATCTTCAGTTTCTTCATAGTGTTTTCTCAAAGCTTGAAGAGAAAAGCAGAGGGATAAGGGGTTGGATTCTGGTATCAGTTTAGGGAGAGGATGAGGGAATTACCATACAACATTAATATGAATCACATCCACGATGATTATTTCTTGGTACCTACTTGTACTTAAATGAGAATTTTTAAATTGTATACTGTTTATAGAAATTGGGAACTTAATTGCTATCTTGCATCCTTTAATTCCTCTTTAGCAAATCTCCTGTTCCTGTTAACTCTGATGATAGTCCTCAACAAACTTCAAGGGCAAAGAGTGCTAAAGGAGTTCTTGAAGACTTTCTAAATAATGATAATCAGGTGGGTGAAATTAAAAGTTTTAAAACTTTTTGAAAGATTTGTGAATAATATGTAAATATTCTTAAGTTACTTAGATAATTTAAAGCAAAAAAAAAAGACTCAAATCATCTCAAATACACATAATTCCTCAGAATTATTGATCATATTTTTATAATATTTTAAATTTTTAAATTATCACATAATAACCATACATGTCTATGGGATACATGGTGATGTGATAAACCATGAATATATAGTGATCAAATTAGAGTAATTTGCATATCCATCATCTCAAATAGTTATTTCTTTGTGTTGGGAACATTTAAAATCCTCTCTTTAAGGTATTTGGAAATAAATGATAATTTATTGTTGCTTATAGTCAGCTGATATTGCTTTAGAACACTAGGACTCATTTCTCCTATCTAGCTGTAATTTTTTATATATAAAATTTTTTTATATAAAATAATTTTATATAATTTTTAATATATAAAAATTTATAATTTATTTTTAATATATAAAAATTTATATAATTATATAAAATTTTAATATATAAAAAATTATAGCTAGATAGGAGAAATAAGAAAGTTTATTTCTCTTTCATTTCTGAAGGGAAAGAATTGGAAAGAAAGGAAAAAGATGAAAGAAAAAAAATAACAGGAATTGGAAATAAATAAAATTACTATTATTAGAAGACATGATGGTGTATATGCAAAATCCAAAAGAATCTACAATAAACTAACAGAAATTTTATATATTAAAATTGTACATAATTTTAATATATAAAAAAAATTATAGATAGATAGGAGAAATAAGTCCTAGTGTTTAGGACTTTCTCTCTCCCTATTTTTTACCTCTCTCCTACCTTTCCCAGTCTCCAGGAACCACTATTTTACTCTCTACTTCTATGAGATCACCTAGTAAGCTTTCCCATGTAAGTGAGAACTATGATATTTATCTTTTTGCTCCTAGTTAATTTTACCTAACATAATGTCCTCCAGAGTCATAGATTTTGTCACACGACAGGATTTCTTTCTTTTTGAAGACTAAATAATATACTGTTGTATATATGTGTCACATTTTCTTTACCCTTCTATCTGTTGATGGATACTTAATGTTGAGTCTACATTTTGACTATTGTGAATAATGTAGTGAACATGGATGTGCAGATATTTCTTGGACATATTGATTTCATTTCCTTTGGATATATACCCAGTAGCTGGATTGCTGGATCATATGGTAGTTCTATTTTATATTTAATTTTTTGAGGAATCTTCATACTGTTTTACTGTGTCTGGCTGTGCGTGGTGGCTCATACCTGTAATACCAACACTTTGGGTGGCCAGGGTTGGAGGATTGTTTGAGTTCAGGAGTTAAAAAAAAAAAGGTCCATAGTGAATAATATTAATTTATATTCAACAAGTGTTTATTTCTTAAAGGTAAGTTGTAATATGAAATCCTAAACCATAGTAACAACCTTCTTTGTCTCTTTCTACAGTTGTTGACTTAGTCTGATTTGTCTCATATAAGTAAAGGCACTTCACCTTGCTTTTGGTTACCACTTGTATGGAATATCTTTCTCCATCCCTTCACTTTAAGTCTTTGTGTATCTTTAAAGGTGAATGGAGTTTCTTTGTAGGCAACATATAGTTGAACAATGTCATTTTTATCCATTCAGGAAGTTCATCTCAAATTTTAAGTAGGGAATTCAGTTTGTTCAGATTCAAGGTTAATATTGATAGGTGAGGATGTATTCCTGTCATTTTGTTTACTGTACTCTGGTCGTTTGTGTGTCTTTCTTCCCCTTGTATTGTTTATCATTATGGTTTGGTAGTTTTCTGTAGTAGTGTTTGATTGTTTTCTTTTTCCTTTGTGTACCTGCTCTACCAGTAAGTTTTATATTTCCATATGTTTTCATGATGGTTCTTATCATCTTTTTGCTTCCAGATGTAGAATTCCCCTAAGAATTTCTTGTAAGGCTGATCTAGTAGTAGTGGTGAATTCTATTGGTTTTGGTTATGTAAGAAAGTTTATTTCTCTTTCATTTCTGAAGGAAAACTTTGCTGGATATAGTATCTTGGCTTGTGATTTATTTTGATATTCACACAGGGTCTTGGAAACAGTCTCCCAAGAAACCAGGGATGACTATATATTGGGTTCTCCTCATGTTCTGTTTGGTTGAAATCATTTTTTTTTTTAATATATGAAATGTCACTAAGGTTCTAACAATTGGAGATATACAGAGATGTACCCAGAGACATTTACTAGGAGGTTTTACAGTATTTTTTAAAACATTCATTAACATTGGCACAGTTTATATGTTTTCTAGTTTTCTGTCTTCTTTTGGTACTCTGACCGCTACTTTGCATGAAAAGTCACTCAACTCAGACATAAATTCCAGAGGCACCCTTTTGTAACTATTATGGTTGTCCTAAGGCAGCTGAAGTTCTAAAATAAAATAGTGGCTGGATGCAGATTATTTGGAGATTATGCTTCAGATACTATCTCCAAGGGTGTAGGAGTATATGCCTAACTGGGTCCTTTTACCCTTTTTTTTTTTTTTAAATGTTTTTATTTTGTTATGGTAAAATATACATAACAGAAAATTTAAAATTTACCATTTTAATCATTTTTAAGTGTATAGTTCTGTGGCATTAAGTACCTTCACATCGTGTGTAGCTGTCACCATAGTCCATCTTCCAAACTTTTTATCTTCTCAAACTGAAACTTTGTACTTATTAAACTCTAACTCCCTATTTCCTCCCTCCTCAGCCCCTGACAAATAGCTTTTCACTTTCTGTCCCTATGGACTTGTTACTGTAGGAACCTTGTGGAAGAAGAATCGTTATATATGTATCTTGTTTGTGACTGGCTTATTCTGGTTAGCATATTATCTTTAAAGATCATCTAGGTTATAGCATTTGTCAAAACTTCCTTTATTTTTTAGACTGAATAATATTCCATTGTATGAATGTACTACATTTTGTTTATTCATTCATCTGTTGTTGAACTCTTGGGTTGTGTCCATCTTTTGGCTGTTGTGAATAATTTTCTGTAAATATGGGTATGCAAATATCTACTCGAGTCCCTGCTTTCACTTCTTTTGGATATATATACCTAGAAGGGAAATTGCAGGATCATTCAATAATTCTGTGTTTAATTTCTTATGGAATTCCCCTCCTGTTTTCCACAATGGCTATAGCATTTTACCTTTTCACTCCCTGTTTCTTATATCCTGTTCATATAACTATGGAAATGTCTTTAAAATCTTTGTAGCCATACTGTTCACCTTGAGTATCTTATGCTAATCAACAACTTTCTATAGAATTGAAGTTTAAGTAGTACTTATGGTGCACAGTCTATGCTGAAATATGTTAAATTACAGACATCTGTAGAGGCCTATTTGCTACTTGGTAGATAATTATTAGGGCACAGAAACTCATTTGAAAGATATAAAATAATAGACTGGTCAGACTTTTAAAAAGAAATTTTAAATATCCCTCACTTATTCTCTTAAAAGAATCCTGACCACCTTATGTGTCTTAAGTACTGTTGCATCTTTTGAACACAAATAAGGTCAGTGGTAATCAAGCTATGAGTGTTATTTAGGTAGAAGGAATGTATGTCCCATGAAGGGGTGAAAAACTAGCATTCTGTACACGAAAACATATTTGAAAGTGTGTAGAGGATACTACATTTGAAATTCTAGTCCCTGACAAACTGGAAAGAACATGTTGGTTTATCTGTCCTTTGAAGACCTTTTCAGTTCTAAAAATTTGTGATTTTACATGTGCTAAATGAATTTGCATTAATATAAATTTGTGCTATTTATTTTAAAAGAGCAATGACTAGGATATGCGAAACTGTTAATCATGATTGTCTCTAAGTAACTTTGCCTGGGGCCTGGGGATGGGGAAGTGGTGAATTACAATTTTGATTTTTTAAAATACTTTATTGACATGTATTGTTTGGATTTTTACATTCATTTTCTATTACGGGAAAATAATACAAAATAAAACTCTTCTTTCCCTGAGTTTGGATGGTTAACTTTATACTATCATCTGTTTTAACCTTAGAGTTGTACTCTTTCTGGAGGAAGACATCATGGTCCTGTTGAAGCCCTGAAACAAATGTTATTTAATCTTCAAGCAGTACAAGAAAGTTTTAATCAAAATAAGACCACAGAGCCAAAAGAAGAGATTAAACAAGTAAGCACAAACATGATTTATGAATTGAGATTTGTGAATTTGTATAAAGATTTTTACATCTTTTTATAGACATAGTTTTATGTTAGTAAGCATGCCATATAACACATATTGTAAGTGGCAGTAGTCTCTTTTTTTTTTTAGGAAGTAATTTACTCACATTTAATTCTGTTTGATTTCTATAGGTGTTTGTCTCTAAACAGATTTTTCTGTTTAACTTATGATCATAAATCCAACATCTTAGTTATGATACTGTTACAACTATGGTATGAAAGGGTTGTAAGAGTTGTTTTTTAATGATCTACAAAATTAATCTATATGACCCATCTTCTGGTAGTTATATTTAGGGAGGCCTAGAAAACTTTTTCTTTTCTTTTCTTTTTTTTTTTTTTTTTTTCAGACAGAGTCTTGCTTTGTTGCCAGGCGCCAGGCTGGAGTACATACAGTGGCACAATCTTGGCTCACTGCAACCTTTGCCTCCCGGGTTCAAGCAATTTTCCTGCCTCAGCCTCCCGAGTAGCTGGGACTACAGGCACGCACCACCATGCCTGGCTAATTTTTGTATTTTTAGTAGAGACGGCGTTTCACCATGTTGGCCAGGATGGTCTCGATCTCTTGACCTCGTGATCTGCCTGCCTCGGCCTCCCAAAGTGGTGGGATTACAGGCGTGAGCCACCACACCCGGCTGAAAAGTTTTTCAGTGTTAGATTTCTCCACACACCTTTGTCATTTGAAATTTAATTTTGTCACAATGTGTTTATTGGCTATTATAAATACAGTTGTATCAAGTTTTACTTTAGGGCCTTTTTATTTTTTCAATTTGTATATTTCTTGGGAATTTGAAAATCTCCTTCTGTTTTGGACTGCTGAATTTTTTTTTCTCTCAAAAGTATAATGTTTAAGAACAAAAGAGTTTGTTTTCCCAAATAAGATTGTAAATTCTAATTCTGTCACTTACTAGCAAATGCAGTATTTGTGCAAATCATTTAACCTCTTTAGTTTCAGTTTCCTATTTAAAAAATTATTTATTTTTAATTGACAAATTATACATATATATATTTGATATACAACATGATGTTTTGAAACATCATGGAATCGCTAGGAAGCTAATTACCTCATACTTTTGTGGAGAACATGTAAAATCTACTCTGTTAGTAGTTTTCAAGTATATGACATTTTATTAATTTTAGTCACCATGTTGTACAATAGATCTCTTGAATTTAATCTTCTTGCCTAACTGAAATGTTATTTTCGTTGACAAACATCTCTGCAACTCCCTGTCCCAACACCCAGATTCTACATATAAGTGAGATTATGATTCAGTATCTGTATTTCTGTGCTGGGCTTATTTCATGTGTCAGTTTCCTTTTCTGTACAGTGAGGTTGTTGAGAAGATAAATTGAGACAAACTGTATAAAGTACTTAGTATAGTGCTTGGTACGTGGTAAATGTTCAATAAATGATGGCTCTTTTTATTGTCATTGTTTTATTGTTATTCAGTAGATTAATGAAATTTAGTTTTCATTACAAATGAATTGATCAGCTTTTGAGAACCTCCACAGCCTACACATTTGAGTTGTATTTCTTAATTTCTGTCTTTACATTCTAATAATCATAACGTTAATATGCAGAGTGTAATCTATCCTTTACCCTCTCATTTTAAACATCATTGAGATATAAGCCTGTTCAGTGAAGTCATAATTTTAAGCCAAGACTTGATTTTTAATGGACATGTATGTAGAAGTATACTTTAGGACAGTTGAAAAATGGCTGTTGTAGTGTTTTTACAATAAATGGAAAATAAAAATATTTAATGCTCTCTAGAAAATTATTTGCTAGAATTATTTGGAAATGTAGAAAGTACTTTTTAATGTTTTAATCACATTTTAAATAGCATTTAGTTTTATACTTATATTTTTAATATTTTGTTGTATTTGGTGTTTTTAATTATAGGTTTCAGAAGATGATTTCTCTAAATTACAGTTGAAGGAAAGTATGATTCCTATTACTAGGTCACTTCAGAAGTAAGTATTCTTTGTTAATAAGGATACAAATTCATCTTAGCCATTCCTTTGACTCAAATCAAAGTTACAGGGTAGAAGTAAGTAGTTTTAAGAGTAGCACTGCTAGGCATATTTAAGCCTGTTGGAGCATACTGTTTAGTCAGACTGAGCAGCACTGTTTCCTTTTAAACTTCTGCTTTCTCCTGTTCTAAATGTTCTAAGGACCTAATGAGATAGCCTTAGATCCCTAAAATTCAATGGATATGAATCACTCATTTTGAGTATTAATAGCAACAATTCTATGATAGTATTTGTGTGAGTATCCTATAACAGTAACTTGTTATGAAATGTGTTTTCATATATTCTCTCCAGAATAAATATAATAATAAATGGATCATTATTTGGAACATCACTACAGAAATCTAAAGTAGGTATAATGACCTGTATATAAAAATAGGTCTAACTTTTTTAGTCACATTGTCTTAAATAATAAAATGGAGAAAAATGCAAGTTGTTTCTATCGTCATGATATTGACAGAAGAGAGGGGTATTTATTTTGGAGTTTGGTGTATGACTATGAAGTGTCCTCAGAAGATGGAATGCTTTGCTTAGGAAATACCGAGATTAAAAGTTTCTACTCTAATAACACCATATCCCTTGGCAAGCTACCTTTTGTACTTAGAGAATTTGCTTCGTCTTCTGTGATTGGATGAACTGGTAGAAAAAGAAAACACTAGACATGAAAACTTATGAATCTAATTGTCATAAATACGTATATAGTTTTCATGGTCAAAATATATCATGTATGATCACGTTTTTCTCTCTACTTAATTTATTATTTTCAGGGTGTAAATAATGCACCTTTGTAGCTTGCCATAGTACTGGGGTATAATGTTCCATACCTAGTAGAATTCAGTGAATAATGATAGTAATAACTAGCAAATGTTAGTATTCTAAGTGCTATTGAATATAATCCATGTGATCATCACAACCCTATGAGGTAAATACTATTATTATCTTCATAATACAGATTAGAGAAAAGGCATGCAGTAGTAAAGTACCTTGCCCGCTGTTACATAGCTAGTAAGAAGTGGGATTCAGAGCAGGCAGTCTGATTTGAAAGTGTGTATTTTTAACACTCCTCTCATTAATGATAGTGGTGAATTACTCATTGAGACTCAGTGCAGGGCCTCAGTTGATCATCTGGTATGAAGACTTCATTTTGCTTTAAAATTTGAGGTGAATGACCATAAATTTTCCATTGCTCTTTAAAGCATTGATACTGAACTTGTCACAGACCTAAATGTATTTTCTGAGTTAATGTACATACCCTAGATGTTTTTCTTGGTGAAAATGAACACTGGATTGCAAGTCATTAAATCACCGCAAAAATCAATATTGATCTATAAGTGCTTTTAGCATTTGGTCAAATTTTTTTTAATAGTAACTTTTTTTTCCACTGTAAACAATCAGTAGTCTTACCTGTATATGGAGTTTCATTTTTAGAGAGAGTCAGTTTACATTTTGTTAGATGGCCTTTAGTTATTAATCCTATTGGATTAACTGAGCAGTCTTAATTTGTCTGTACATTTCAAAAGTATTATCAGTAAGATGTTTGTACTGTAATGAAGTAAGCTTAGACTTAACAAAAGTTACTTTCAGTCTGTAGATTAACAGTTTTAAGGACAATTTAAATTTAGTTCAGTCTCAGAATTCCTTTTTCCAGGCTGCAAAATGTTCTGGTTAAGTATATGGCCATCTTTTCATACTTCAGATATTTCAAATGTATTTCAAAATTTCTAAAATATTTCTAAAATATTTTAAAAGTTACTGATTATACTTTGTAGGCTTTAATGGCCTTTCCTAAGGTAAAGTCCTATTATGTCTCTTTACATTCCTCAAATAACAGTTTTTGTTTTTGTTTTTGTTTTTGTTTGAGACAGAGTTTCGCTCTTGTTACCCAGGCTGGAGTGCAATGGCGCGATCTCGGCTCACCGCAACCTCCGCCTCCTGGGTTCAGGCAATTCTCCTGCCTCAGCCTCCCGAGTAGCTGGGATTACAGGCACGTGCCACCATGCCCAGCTAATTTTTTTTTTGTATTTTTAGTAGAGACGGGTTTTCACTATGTTGACCGGGATGGTCTCGATCTCTCGACCTCGTGATCCACCCGCCTCGGCCTCCCAAAGTGCTGGGATTACAGGCTTGAGCCACCGCGCCTGGCCAACAGTTTTTGTTTTTAATAATTTGGGTGGCTAACCAGTTTTAAGATATCTTTCATTAGCCATAGCACACTCTAAGATCTTAGTCTGGCCTTTGTTTACTCCCTTAAATACTCGGTTTTCTTACATTCTTCAGTGAGAAATATCTGCTCTCTAGGAAGACTTATTGGAGCTGGGATTACAGGTGCGTGCCACCACAACCTGGCTAATTTTTGTATTTTTAGTAGAGACAGGGTTTTGCCCAGGCTGATCTTCAACTCCTTACCTCAGGTCATCCACCTGCCTCAGCCTCCCAGAGTGCTGGGATTGCAGGCGTGAGCCACCAGGCCCAGCCGAGTCTTACTAAAATTTGAGTTATTTTGCCTCTGATTGCTTGGTAACTTTGGGTTGAATTATTGTTACTTATTAGTCAGTGAAGGTGAGAATCTCAAAAATTAACTGTAGTTGCCAAAAAAAGGTGGGAGAATTGAGAGTCTTCTTATTACATTTGAGTAAAAGTGTTGAAGCAGTGTATAGTACAGAGAAATAGATATATATGCAGTAATTAATACTACTAGTTTCCTTCCATCTCCTTGTCCTGGGTAAAATGGAACATGTAGTTAATATACATTTATTGAACAACTACTATGTATAAGAGACTATAGAATAGAGTTTTGTAGTCATTACCTTTCCAAACTCACCATAAAGAAATGGAAATTACTAACACTGGAAGTTACTGCACAACTTTTTTTTTTTTAAATTTAATTTTATTTTCTTTATACAGATTTATTGGAGTAATCAGCAGCTTCCCCCACACTCAGTAAAAATGAGTTTTGTTTAGATTTGTAACTAATCCTTAAATGTTATTTAAAAAAAAATAGCTATCTTGAAATGTAAATGTTAAAAGTTATCTCTGTGTTTTACTTCTTAACTAATATATGCAGGATACCTAAAGAAAAGGTATCGTTTCACAGAGCTGTAATAAAAATTACTTGAAAAAAGTGTTTTTGTTAAGTGATATAAATGATACCTATTGTTTCTTGTTAGGCCACTTGGGAGACTATCTTAAAAAGGTTAATATCAAATAGTGTAATTTTTAAAGTAAGTGTTTATAGAGCTTTAGACAAATTATTTTAACCCTCATTCAGATCTCAAGTTATAAGGAATAACTCATACCAATTTTGAATAAAGTAATCACCATAATCACCATTTTTTTTTTTTTTGCTATCTACATTGGCTATTTAGTTCTTAATACCTGGTTTATAATGTGTTTTATACTTTTTGATGAAGGGCTTTGCACCATTTATCTCGCCTGAGAGACCTGGTTGATGATGCCAATGGAAAAGAGTCACCAAAAATGTGAAGAGGAAAATGAAACTGTCACCAAAATAAATAGTTACCACAGAACAAATATTTTTTTTCTATTACATAAACGGACAAAGTAAATATAAGCCATATATTATTTTGTAATTGGTTCAATGATTATATGTTTCTAAAACACTGAACTTGAAAATACACATAGGTTTTGTGACCTATTTTTATTTTGTGCCAACATATTAGAATGTGAACTCCAAAGACCCACAATATATCCTAAAGTCTTACTTTCGTCTTCTGGTCAGCAAATGTCTAATATTTAAAGATGGATGACTTCTGTTCTTGAAACCTGTGTGGATTTAACCTTCTTCGGCATCCTTAACATTTTATTCTCTGGTTCAGGATCATTAAGAAACTTACTGATTTTTATCCAAAATCTCTTACGTTAACTAGACGTTTTTTTTTTTTTTTTTTTTGATGTAGTTGGCTTCACTTTTAAACAGCTTAAAGGAATATCAAAATTGTTACTGTGTATCTCATCTATATGGAAGTCTGTTGCTTTTAAGTTTTCATAAATTTTATATTTAAGATACATTGTATTTGAAAAATTACATTAATAGTGGAGTGATAACAGTGTTAAAAGGAATTTTATGTTGTGACATTCAAGAGAATCTTCTCATTTAATTAGTACTTTGATTCCATATAAAAAATCTTAATGTTTAACAGTTTCCAAAACCTTTTTGGGGGTATGTTTAAGAATTTAATATTTTGATATTAGGTTATTTCCCAGATTTTAATTTTGGGATTAGCTCAAACTAGTGAAAATTATGACTTAATGACCAATTGCTTTATGAAATTTGATAGCTAAACTTAAAATGAATATGGAAAATCAGAAAGCACCTATATTTTAGAGCCATTTTGTAAGAGTTGTGCTTTCTTTAACACAATCTGTAGTCTTAAGTTTGTCTCTAGCTGGAACTGAACAAAGCTCTACAATTTTGCAGTTTTTATCAAGCACTTATTATTAATCCTTAGAATTAAGTCATAAAGTATAACTAATACAGTACATTACAGCCTGATAAAATTAAAGAATACTATGAATATATATAACTACTACAAATTAACACTTCACTCCGATGATAGCATTTTTGCTCAGTAAATTTATTGTCAAATAGGAATTTCTAAGCACATTGAGTCAAAACATTTTTTCCAAGCTATTAAAGCATCATTTAATATATTTGTTAGAAGTGACATGTCAAACTCTACAGTGAGCCTGTGGGTTTGTTTTTTTTTTTTTGGCCAGTGAGTTTCACCACACTGCTATGGCCAGTTTGAGAGGCAGTTACCAAGAGGTTTGTTGTGTTTGCTCTGTGGAGATGTTTTTGCCACTGATGTTGTTTTCTGATTATAGTCTGCTTCATAGAAAATAGCCTGCATAATCAAACAAGGAACTACTTTGAAGATTAAAGTATGCCTGGCTATTAAAAATACAGATTTTATGTGGTAAACATCAGGAAGGTCTGGGTGGGTTATGTTTTAGGCCTACCAAATCCTCTGTTAGACAAGTTCTGAAGAAGGCAGAGAAGATAAAGGCATCAGGTGGTAACTTCTAATTGTATGTTAATTATATGTTGATCATACATAACATATACTATGCTTGGAAATTACAATGACTGAAAAGTACCTATTTGGTTAGTGCTTCTATCTATGAGAACATATCTCCAATACTAAATGAGATAAGCCTGTTCTAAAATCTTACAGCCAAATTTTAAGAAACTTGATTATGCTTACGAAAGGAACGTTGTTTTCTCTTGTTTTAAATATGGAGAGGTTTAATCCTTTACCTAAGAAAGAAATTAATTTTAGCAAAATGATTCCTTCCAACATTTTTATAAGAAATATCTAGGAGAGTCAACAGAGAAAAATAAAATCTAAACTGGTAACTATTCAAGACATTCTCTAAATAAGAGATTTAATTACAAGCTTTGTATCTCAGGGTCCTTTTTAGGTTTCCAGGGGAAAAGAGCAGGATAACAGTATGGAAACTGCTAAGTTGAGAATTTGAAACAAATGAGAACATGAGATTTTAAAAGCTGCATTGTGAATATAAAATTTTTATCAATCCTTTGCTCTTTTAGATATATTAAGAAAATAGAAGAAATTAAGAAATTTTAATAAGATGTTTCAGATCTTTGAGTATGAAAATATAAAAATTTAAAAGCCTAATTTCAAAAACCATTTGAGATCAAGGGACAATGTTGTCACCAATACGGAGATTCAAGACTGAACTATATTGTCTTTACTATCAATAAGAACTTTACTTTCAGTTTTTTCTCCAACAATAGAGATTTCTGACCAAATTAAGGAACACTGTTTTCTTGGGGTTTTTTTTTTTTTGGAGTATATTTCATTATAGTTATATGTTCTTTCTAGTTAAAATGTATAATTGTGGGTTTTTTGTATTGTTTAGTATTTAATGGTGTATAATGTGTTGTTAAATTATATGTGGTTATACCAAAATGTTGCCCGAAGATAAATCATGACAAGTTTCCCTGTTTATTCCTCTGTTTTAAATACATAGAATTGCTTTTGTAGATTTGAATTTTTGTTTCAATTTTTTCTGTCCCACCCTTCACTCTCTGTATCTCAGAACCTTTTTGGTAGAAGTGCTATCCAGAAGTGAACTTATAAAAAGGCAAATAGTATGAAATGAGACAAAAAAAAAATCAAAAGACCAATATAGTGGATAATTTCTGAGCACTTGAAGTTTCTTCAAAAATGCAAGACTCTGTGTCTTCCTATTAGATGTATAAATTGGCTATTTCATGCCTAATTAAATGTCATATTGCATTACAGTTCCTATCATAAAGTGATTGGGATAAATTGAGGCCTAAACTTGAACACACTGTAGAGCATATTGCTAGAAATTTTTCCTGTGATATTTGAAGTTATGATTTTCCCATTTCCTTTTCTTTTTTTCTTTATAAATCTTATGTCCCTAAGTTTGTTTTCCTGTTTTGGTTTGGCCAAAAACAACAACAACAAAACAACAAACAAACAAAACCTTAGTTTTTTATCTTCCCAGTGTATTCTGCATTGTCCTTACCCTAGGTCAGACACTTCTATGTAACAGTTTTTCTCACAATGTAACAACTTTTATCCACCCTTCAATACCTTCACTGAGACTAGTTCATTCATTTTCAAATAGCTATTTCAACCTTTAACCTCTCCTGTCTTTGTCTTTTATGCAGAAGCCAGAGTGACTGTTCTTGGCAAGACTCTGTTGTGTATCACCACTCTGACCTTACTGATTTGTTCAGCAAATTTGCTGTAGTTAAATTGCTTTGTTCAGATTCTGCCCAACATTATTTATGTATCCTCATCTTTGTGCATATTATTTCTCATGCATGAAATACTCAAGTTTTATTCTTTTATCCTGCTGAGTCTGTCCTGCAGACTCTGGCCGAGCGATGGATGAAAGGAGTACTCAGACACAGATATGCAGTGAAAGAGTGCTAGGGGACCGCCTGCAGAGTGAACAGTCTTGATAAGCTGGCACTGCTTGCTTTTATTCAGTACAGACATAATGCTGAAAGCCTGGAGCCAACACAATCTATTGGTAATTAACACTGTCCCCCCCTTGCAGGGAGCAGTCTCACATATGGGTGATTAAAGGTCAGTTCCTGAACAATATAAGCAAAAAAGCCTATTTAGATAAATTCCCCATTCATTCCCTGTTACCTATTCCTTGCTCTTTGCCTCAGGGTAAGAGAACAGCTGCCTTCAGCTTATTCTTCCCTGAAGCTTTGCAAAACCTTCTGACCTTTCAAGAAGGTTTGCGTGTTTTCACTATAGCTTCTCCCACCACCCTGACTAATCTACATCTCCCCCTTTTCTGTTTTTTTGAATCAGGTTTTGTTGAGTACAGATGTGTGCTGCAACAGGTTTGTCAGGCACAGCAGTTAGAGCTCTTGTTCTGGCTTTGCATCCTAGAATTAGTAAATAACGTAAGACAAACGTGAGTATAATTAGTGTCATTCTTTCCCAATTAAGGAGTGATATGTAGCGTTACTTGGCACCTTAGTCCAGTGTGTGCCATGACTGAGGGACCCCACCAGGGGTATGGCAATCCTTTCTAGCCAAGCAGTCACATTGTTAGGGGCTGAGAAGGAGGTATCCACCCAAAGTAACAGGGCAGAAGAAAGGTGGATCCCAAAGATGGACCCAATAGAGTATACAGGTTGCAGGCAGAGAGAATAAGAAAGGTTAATACCTTTTGAGAGTCACAATGTACGACAGAAAGCGTATCAAGGAACAGATTATCTGGAGTGAATGGTGTTTGTATTTGGAGCAGGATTTGCTCAGCCTCCTAAGTTGTGTTCTTCAGCATCCCCCAGTTCATGTCCGGGGCTGTGGGTCCTGTAGGATCATTTCCTTCATTTCTGGTACTGGGTTGGGTTGTAACCACACTGTGGTATGGTTTGATGTATTGCACTGGAATCCAAAGAGGACCTGAAGAGGTGCGAACACAAACGTGTCCTCTGTCCTCTTCCCTGTTAACAAATCATTTCAACCGAACCATACATTACTATTTACATCTTTTCATAAAACCACGTTTTGTGTCTTGAGGGGCATTTGCAAAATGCTTCTCTATGGCTGATTAAAATTTATCGTCTAAATTTTAAAAATTATGGGTAAATAAGGCTTGTGCCAATAGTGTTGCCGGGTTCTTATTACCCCTTTTTTTGTTTTCTGAGCATATTTTTAAGGGTGGAGTGTATGTGTTCTACTATGGCCTGTCCTTGGGGGTTATACAGGATGCCTGTGGAACGTTAGATGTTCCATGTGTGACAAAGTTGTTGAAATTGTGAGCTGGCATAAGCTGAGCCATATCAGTTTTAATTTTTGTGGGCCACCCCATAAATGCAAAAGTTAAGAGAAGATGTACGTATCAGGCGGACTCTCCAGGAAGAGTATGAGCACTAATTAGTTGGGACTAGGTATCAACGGATACATGTACATATCTTAGCTTTCCAGATTCAGGGATGTGCATGATACCTGTTTTTCATAACTGATTAGGTTCTAGTCCTCTAGGGTTAACACTTGTTGAAGGAGGGGACGTACCTGTGAACTGGTGATCTGGTCATTGTAAAATAATTTGTTTAGTGAGTCTTTGGGTAAGTTGAAATTGTTTTGTTAAGTTTCTCTAATTCTGGGGGAAAAATTCATGTGATGATTGGGTGGCTTTGTCAAGTGATGTCATAACCTGCATGTTTGCTTGATCATTGCCCTGCACTAGTGGGCCAGGCAGTGAACTGTGGGCCTGAATGTGTGTGATAAAAATAGGATGTGTATGTTGATCCAGCAATTGCTGAAGTTGAAAAAGTGTGCACAGGGTGGGCTCAAGAGTGGACTTAAGAGTGGACTTAATGAGGGCTGTCTCAAGGTTCTGCCATAAATAAACAGAGTAAGCCAAGTTACTAACAATATTGATAGGCTGATTGGAAAAGGTGTTTCTAGGGCCAACATTAGGGCTCCAACCTCAGGTCTCGAGTCCTAGTGAATCTAGATTGAGTGAGGGAGTAATGTGGTTCCCACCAGATAGCCACTTTTCCATTTTTATCAGAGTCATAAAAAGCGTTGAAGTGTTAGGCATGTGGGAGTGAACTACCTTTGTAGGCATAACTACAGGAGTATGAGATAAGTAGGAAGGGTATATTCTATAGGACCTGCAATTTTAGAGTGCTCTTTGAAGGTCTAGAAAAAGGGGCAGGATTGCTTCTAATTGTTTTTGACTTAAGGATACTCTTAAGACATCAGGGTCTCATAACCTAGCAATTGATCACATTGTCTGCGACCTGTATAGATGACTTTACTAACTAGCTGGACATAGGGTATTTTAGTCCCAGAATGTGAGTAAAAAAAACCCATTCTAGGCCGGGCGTGGTGGCTCATGCCTGTAATCCCAGCACTTTGGGAGGCCGAGGCACTTTGGGAGGCCGAGGCACTTTGGGAGGCCGAGGCGGGTGGATC